TTTTCAAGGGCTTCGATGTGTATGTGAAAGCTGGACAATAAAGAAGACTAAAATAAATGACGCCTTTGAACTGTGGGACTGGCAAACAGTATTGAACATCCTGTGGACTGCCGAAAGAAAAACTCTGTCTTGGAAGAAATGCAGCCAGAGTACTCCTTAGAAGCAAGGATGGTGAGACTTTCCCTTATATACTTTGGGCATGTTAAAAGGAGAGACTAGTCCTTGGGAAAAGACATTCCAGGGCCAGTGAAGGAAAGGAAGCCCCTTAGTGAGATGGACTGACACAGTGACTGTTAGAACAGGCTTAAGCCCAGTAAGGATGGGGCAGGACTGTAGAGGGTTTCGCTGTGCTGTACACAGGATAGAGTTGTCTGCTAAGTTAGAGCAGACTTGATAAGGTCCAACAACAACCAGACTCATGATGAGAAAGAAACTATTTCCATAAGACTTGAAGTCTGAAGAGGCCAGGGACCCCCAGGGGATGGCCTGCCTGAGAAGAACACCAACCCACGTAAAAGTAGAGGCAAGGGGGCGAGAGTGGCTGGGCCCAGGTGAAACAAATGGTGTTGGGATCCAGCCAGGCCTGCAGGATCGATCTGGCCTTTTAGTTGCTCAGGCCAATCAGTCCTGGTTTTCTGCTTAAATCAGATTGACTTAGGTTTCAATCACTTGTAACCAAGAGTCTCGTCCAATGCATCAGGGTGGGAGGACCAGGAGAGCACGCAGCAGCAAGAATGTGAACCAGCTGTCGGCCAGGCTGTGGAGTTAAGGACCCTTCCAACCCCTCGGGCTGAGAAGGGGCTCCTTTAGCAGCAGAACTTGATAATGTGTCTGTGTCTTTTGGAAAGAAAAGCTTTACTAAGTGAGAGAAGGGAGGGAAAAAAGGCAAGGGCTTTTAAAGATATTTCAGAGCCTCTGGAATATCTTTTCTGGGTTTTCCCATCAGGATGGATAGTTTGGTCTTGAATTGGGCTCAAATTATTAATTCATCAGCCTTACCAGTATGTATCAATTTATCTTAATTTCTGAAAATGTATGCACACCTTTCAGATCCATCTCTTTTTATCTGTCACCACGAAGAAAAGGGATCTTAGCAGAGATTAATCAGAGGGAATTGGACCCTTCTTGAGCGCCGTGCTCTGGCTGAAATAGAACCTCCTGGCATTTCCGTGTCAGCTGCCCACAGATGAATGGGCTGGTCTGTCCCTCTGCTGTGGGCAGCTCTTCGATGGGGCTATGAAGACAAAGCATGGGCAGATGGGCTGTCAGCGACTCCAGGAATTCTCATTCTCAAAGCCAGGAGAGATAATGCCCAGAGAGAAGTCTCCCTCTTGGACTTCAGCGGCGCCTTATTACACCGGCAACTCCTCATTATACTGTCTCATTTCCTCTCGAGAGTGAAGGGCATAATTGGATCAAACAGAAACACGAGCCATCCTCCTTCCCCCACCCGGATGAGAGACTTCCACTATGGCTTCATTACCAAGCCTTTTGTAAATAAACTGTGTGGAGAAAAATGTCATTTGTTCTGCCATAATTACCTGATGAGCATCATTAGATGGTTCTTTGATACACACAGAATGGAATCATTCTGAGTATAGAAATTCCTTTGTGCAAATCTTTTCTCATTCACTGTTCTCCATAGAGGGAGTTTCTGAAGGAAGACTTCTTGACAAAGGATCTGGTTAGGACCTTGGAGGCTGGTGCTGGCCCAGGATGCTTGGAGTAGTTAATCAATAGATGGCCCAGGATGCTTGGAGTAGTTAATCAATAGATACAGTCTAAGCACCTTCTCTGCACAGACCATCCCTTCAGGTACTTGGGATAGAGTCATTAATAAAGATACAAAGGTCTCCACCTTGCTGTAGTTTGCATTCTGGTGAGAACTCAGAATACAGATGGGCTCATTTTTCAGAAGAAACTTGGCAGAAAACTTCATAAATTAGTTTGTTTAACTGACAGATGGGGTAACTGAAATAAAAACTCTTCTGATTCCTGTGTGTGGTTTTATTGTACCCTCAAGGATGTATCTTCAGTCAACTGAATCACAGCTGAAGGCAGAGAATACTAGGAAGATGTTTACCTGAGTTTGACTGACTATGCAAAGGCAAACTGTGTGGATAATAAAAGAATTACAGATAACACGAGAAGAATATGAATGATATAACTCTTAATTATGCTCCTACAAACATATACATAGACAAAGATGCAGTCATTTGAACAGAAAAAGAGGGTACTGCATAGTTTAGAATAAGAGAAGATATGTATCAGGATTGCATCCTTTCATCCTGTTTGTGGAATTTGTTGAGCACATAGTATGAGAAGCTGCAGTATAAAGAAAATGGGTTCAGGACTGGAAGAAGACTCAATGCGTGTAATAATACAGGTGACACCATCTTGCTGCTAAAAGCAAAGAAGACACAAAGCACCAATGATGAAGATTAAAGACTACAGCCCTCAGTATGGATTACATATTAACATTTAAAAAACTCTAAAAAGCTTCACATTTGGACCAATAAACAACATCTCAAAAAAAAACCCAAAACAATCAAACAAAAGATCAAAGTTGTCCAGGATTCAAGTTTACTTGGATCTACAATCAACACCCAAATATTACATTTGGTCAAGAAACCAAGTAACATATAATGTTTGGCAAATCTGCCACCAATGATCTCTTTAAAATGCTACAGAGTTGTTTTTAAGACTTAAGTATGCCTGACCTCAAATCATGTTTTCAATAACCTCATATGCATATTGTTATATGCATTTATGTTGTGGTGCTAGGAACTGGTTTTGAACATAGAATGGAATGTGAAGAGAACAAACAGGTCTGTCCTGGACTGGGTGAAACTAGGTTGCTCCTTGGAGGTAAGGATTTTGAAGCTCTGTCTCACATACTTTGGGCATGCAAGTAGGGGCCAGTCCTTGGAGAAGGACATCATGCTTGGAAGGGTAGAGCGGTAAGTGCAGGAGAAGACGACCCTGGATGAGATGGATTGACACAGTGACTGTGGCAGTGGGGTCAGCTGTGTCAGAGAAGGTGAGGTTGGCTCTGCAGGATTCAGAGGGTCACTATGAGTCGTGGTTGACTCAACAGCACATAACAACAGCCAGATATGCATGTAAAAGCTGGACAGTGAGTAGGAAACACTGAAGGAGAATTGATGTCTTTAAATCACGGTGTTGGTGAGGAATGTGGGATAGCTCATGGACTGTGATAAGAACAGATGTGTCTTAGGAGAAACATAGCCAGAATGACCCAAAGCTGTGAAGATGGTGAGATTTGATCACATCTACTTTGGACATGTTATCAAGAGAGATCAGTCTACGGAGAAGGAAATCATATTTGGTAAAGTAGAGGGTCAGTGAGAAAGAGGAAGACCTTGAATGAGATGGATGGAGAGGCTGAACAATGGGCTCCATAGCAATGATCCTAGGCTTGGGGCAGGACCAGGTAGTGCTTTGTTCTCTTGTACATAGAGTAGCTATGACCTAGAACTGATTCTACTGGTACTTACAATTAAAACAACACAGGATACAACATCTGGAATATTACATTACATGGACTATGGATCCTAAACAGATGACATATATACTATCATCCACCAATCCTGTACCCACGGCAGATATTACTAATCAATCATTGTTCTTTTTTTTTTTTTGTTATACTTGGGGGTAGGGAGCTCTGGTAGCCTGGTGGCAAGGAGCTGCGCTGCAATCTCAAAGGCATGTGGTTTGAGTCCACCAGCAGCTCCACAGGAGAAGAATGGGCAATCTCCTCCTGTGCAACTGACTGCTTCTGAAACCCCACTGAAGGGTCAGCCACGGATCTGTTCCAACTTGATGATTCATAACAATAACAGCAATATACTTGGATGTAACTGGAGAATACATATCTATACAAAATTACATTGTTAGAACAGCATATATTAATGAATAGAATAGAATATTCCTGGAAGAAGAAATCTATTTGCTATTTCTAAAATAGAATGTTATTCATTCACTTTGCTTAGTGGCTGTGGAATAGTCAAGTAAATTAGCACTATAGCAAAACTATAAAGGAAAGGCTAAGAGATGAAAGCTACATTCTTGGGCTCATTTTCTCCTCAAGTACTTTCTCTGATATCCCTACAGTCAGAGTGTAAAGTATGTCCCTATAGTCAGAGTGTTGCCTTGGAATCAGATAGACTCTTGGGTTCAGGGCCTACCTGTTACTTCCAACTGTCTGAGTCCTTAGTCTGAGCCCTGCTGTCTCCCCTGTGTGGTAAGTATGATAAGAGCATCACTAAATGTTAGTGCTGAACAGGACTGAAATTCAATCACTACACACAAGAGTAGATGTACAATTGCTTAAGCTGGCATCTATTCTGACTCCCTGGTGTTAGCCCCTTAATAGCTATTGCATCTTTTGAGTATTACTAGTGGCTATTATTTTCTTTAGGAGTTTGGGTCCCTCGTGGGGGGCAGCTTCAAAACCCTGGAGGTGAGTGGCAAAGCTATGGAAATTTCTTAGCCCTAATTAGACACCGTGAGGGAATAAATCACTGGCTAGTCTCAAGGGACATAGAGGTTAATTAACATAACACAGTCCACACACACAAATGTTTTACATCCTATTTTACTAAACAGAGCCTTTGGGTAGACTCGAACTTTCAACGTTTCAGTCAACTGCTGAATCCCTTAACTATCTCCATCACCTAGAGTCATACCATCTTTACTGGAAAGGAGATCTGTCTTACTCTAACACTGCACTATTACGAAGAGACATAAGCAAATACCAGTCTAAACCAAGATCAGCCTTTGGCAGCCTCGGGGACTCCCTCACCCCAACATGGAGAGCCCGCTGGCTCCTGATTACATGGCCTGAGTTGCAGAGTGGCTGCTGAAGCCTGAGGCCTCGAAACTATTTCCTGGCTTGCATGGACAACAGGCAGGCAGCCTGCAAGGTTATGTGCCAAGATTATTTGCCAGGGAGAGGGACTTCTGGAGGGCTGGCTCACCTTGAAGGAGATTTCATACTGCTCCCCTCCCCAGATCTCCAAGCCGGGGTCGTACCCGCCTAGCTCCCAGAACCACTTCCGATCCACGGCGAACAGTCCACCAGCCATCACAGGAGATCTGTCAGGGAATAAAAGTGTGTTGTGAATATGTGGACATCCTGGCTGCTTTCTTGATGACAGTGCTGTGTGCTGCTCCATCCACACAGCCTGGGGCTGGAGGATCCAAACCAAATGAGGGAAGGCTAGGCTTTCTCCTCAAACCCTACATCAGTGTAATCCAAAATTCCCTTCACATAGTCAACGTCTCAGAATGTTTGGGAATTGAAATCACAGTACTTTCCTCTTGGGCTTTGTATATAGGTACGTGTATACATACACAAACATGATGGGTCCTCTACTGGATTTTGTGTGTATGTATACATATTTATATGTATACAAACACACACACATATATATATACACACATACATATATACATATATATACACACACATATAATATACATATATATATATATACACACATACACATATTGTTTTGGACCACATCCTAAATTTACTGAGGCAGATTCTCTGTAAGTGGAGTCTTGGCATCTGTATTTTCTAAATATTTCCTTGAGATTCTTATTAGTATGGACATGTGTTCTGCTATAGTATTTAGTGGAAGCCACAATTTCTAGTCAAATTGGAGGATAAGAGATGTATTATAGGTGTGTTAGAGATGATGAAATTGGCTCAGGATAGAGTAGGGCTCAGAGCTGTGTTTACAGAGTTGCTGTGAGTTGGAGGAGAACCAATGGCACATAACCACCACCACCACAACAACAACAACAACTCCATTTATTCTCTCATTGGTTTATTTCTGGTTTTGAAGGGCAGCTGTGAAGCAGGTACTGGGAGAATGTGGAGGTAAATCAGAATTGAAGGGGGGAAGCCACTTCAGGATTGAAGGATATAGAAGTCTAGGCTGTGTGGTCCAATACAGGATTTGGGGTGGTACAGATTACCACAGGAAGGTGTAGGTAGTAAGTCATTGCCTTCCACGTGTGGGGTAGAGGGTAAGAGGGAGGCTGGAGCAGGAGCCAAGAACAATGCCCTGAAGTAGACTTGAGAAATACGGAGCAAAGACGGCACTGAGGAAGAGGGCGGAGAGATGGAAAACCATGAGGTGATTACAGGGAATAGAAGTTAGCGTAGCTCCATGTAGCCCAGAGGAGGACATGATGCCTCACGTGGAACCAGTGTCTGATCCCTACAATGTGGCTATCCTGGAAAGTGCCAAACACTGAAACCAGAATATTGCAGCAGCAACCTCCATTTCCTTCTCTAGGCCTCAGGAAGTCAGCATGCTCATGGGAAAGAGATTTATTTAAAAAAGACTTGA